GGAGGAGGAGGAGGAGGAGGAGGAGGAGGAGGAAGAAGAAGAAGAAGAAGAAGAAGAAGAAGAAGAAGAAGAAGAAGAAGAAGAAGAAGAAGAAGAAGAAGAAGAAGAAGAATCTGTTTCAGCCAGTAGTTTAGCAGAATAGAGCAAGACGGGAGTTCCAAGCAGATAGAGGAGGAAAGAAGGCTGAGTCAGGGAGACACCATGTAGCCTCCACTGGACCCTGGTAAGACTTTGCCGGTAGGCTACCACCTAGTGGTGATGTACAGATTAGTGGAGATGGGTTAGTGTAGGATATAAGAGCTAGCTAGAAACACCTCCTAATCCTTCCTAAACAGTTCACTAACTGGAGACCAAACATTCAAATATCTGAGTCTATGGGGGCCATTCTCAGTCAAACAACCACATGCACTGCATTTTTTATTTTTTCTTTTTTTGTAATTTTTAAGATGTGTAATGTGAAAAATGTCTTCTAATATTACACTTAAAATTTTAAGGTTTATCTTATGTGTATATTATTCTATGTATATTTTCTTTAATGTTTTGCTTACATATTGGAAGGGCATCAGATCTCTGCAAACTGGGGTTGTGAATGGTTGACAGCCACCGTTGGGTGTCGGGAGCTAAAAACAAGTGCTTGTAACAACCATCTCTCAGCCCTCCAAAAGTCAACCCCCAACAAATGTCACTTACATGAGTAAATGGCCCTGGCTGAAGGAACACTTTTTTAAAATTTTTATTGAGCTCTACATTTTTTTCTGCTCCCCTCCTTACCTCTCCCTTCCCCTTCAACCCTCTCCCAAGGTCCCCATGCTCCCAATTTACTCAGGAGATCTTATTTTTTCCACTTCCCATGTAGATTAGATCTATGTATGTCTCTCTTAGGGTCCTCATTGTTGTCTATGTTCTCTGGGATTGTGATTTGTGGGCTGGTTTTCTTTGCTTTATGTTTAAAAACAACTTATGAGTGAGAACATGTGATAATTGTCTTTCTGGGTCTGAGTTACCTCACTCAAAATGTTGGTTTTTTTTTTTTTAGCTCCATTGATTTTCCTGCAAAATTCAAGATATCATTATTTTTTTCTGCTATGTAGTACTCCATTGTGTAAATCTACCACATTTTCCTTATCCATTCTTCAGTCGAAGGACATTTAGGTTGTTTTCAGGTTCTGGCTATGACAAACAAAGCTGCTATGAATATAGTTGAGCACATGTCCTTGTGGCACGATTGAGCATCCTTTGGATATATATACCCAAAAGTGGTATTACTGGATCTTGAGGAAGGTTGTTTCCTAATTTTCTGAGACATTGCCACTTTTTTTTTTGGACACACAGGGTTTCTCTGTGTATCTCCAGCTGTCCTGGAACTCACTCTGCAGACCAGTCTGGCCTCAAATTCAAGAGATCTACCTCCCTGAGTGCTGAGATTAAAGGCCTGCACCACCACTGCCCGGCTCACTTATTTTGTTTTAAAAATGTCATCTCACACACACACACACACACACACACACACACACACACACACACACTAGTATCATTATGTAGCTCAGCCTGATTTGTTCTCAGGATCCTCTTGCTTCAGGCCGCTGAGTACTGAGATCACCATGGCCGGCTGAACCATACCCACATGTTTTTATTCATTTATTTTATGTATTTTGAGGTTCTGGGATTGAATGCAGGACCTCTAGGGTACTAGGCAGATGCTCTGTGGCTGAGCTCCTCCCCTAGCCCCTTCCTCCTGGATCCAGGACAGGTCACTGAGTTGCCCAAGCCTGTCTTGAACTGTGAGTCTCCCTGCACAGGCCCAATTTGAAGCATATATCATTTTCCTCCCACTGGTTTTTGAGACAGGGTTTCTCTGTGTGGTCCTGGCTGTCCTGGCACTAGCTCTGTAGACCATGCTGGCCTCGAACTCACAGAGATCCACCTGCCTTTGTCTCCCGAGTGCTGGGACTAAAGGGGTGCACTACCATCTGCTGCCTTATATCTTTAAAACCTATCTCCCCGGGCTGGAGAGACGGCTCGATGGTTAAGAGCACTGGCTGCTCTTCCGGAGACCCTTAACTGGGTTTCCACATGGCCGTAGGGGTGAAGTGAGGGGGTGGCACCTGCAGATATTGTGGGAATGTTCTAGAACAATGGCAAATGTGTAACCATTGTCAGCAATTATAGGCTATTTCTGTGCCCCAGGAGAGCGTTGGATGTTTCTCTCTGCTTTTTAATCTTCCATGAGAAAATCACAGAATGTTTCAGATTAAGTCTGAAGCAAAAATGTCCTACTGTTACTAGCTCATGACCGTGTGGACTTAACTGAGCTTTCTTTTATCAGTGCAAGGCAAGCTGTTTCTAAAACTGTCAACAGGGGAAAAGGAGGGAAAATCTGAGTTAAATGACCAGAAAGGAAAGAGGCAGGGGAAGGGCTCGCGAAGCCCACCCCAGCTAGGAAGATGTTGGCAGTTAATGGTTGCTGGGGGAGGGGTGTGGCCACTGGTATTACAGTGGGTTATATTGATTAGCCTATTAAGTAATTTTAGCAAAATTAAGGATGATTTTAGGTGCAAACTCAAGGACAATATACTAGAGTATAAAAGAAAAACGCCCTAGGGCAGGCAAGCTGTAAGTCTTGCACCCGTAGCCTGTGTGAAGGGCTGGTCCCATAGTGGCCTGCAGCCGTATGACACAGAGAGGAGCTTTAGAAAAAAAGAGAAATAAAAAAGCAAGCCCAAAGACCAGAGACCTTATTTATTTTTAATTTTTTTGTTTGTTTTTAAGACGAACTGGCCTTACTACCTTAGGCCAGTTTTAAAACACAAAACAAACAACACCAAAAAAAAAAAAAAAAAAAAAAAGCGAAAGGCAGCCCAAGGCCACTGACGTGGAGCTGGCTAAACAAACTGGAGCCTCGCCCTAGGGGGATGGAGCCCCCAGAATAGAAAAGAGAAACCGGGACTGGAGAGATGGCTCAGCGGGTGAGAGCAGTGATGCTCTTCTGGAGGGCTTGGGTTTGATTCCCAGCACCCAGGAGCAGCTCACAACCATCTGTAACCGCAGTTGGACACCCTCTTCTGGCCTCTGAGTATGTATGTGCAGACACTCACACAGGCAAAACACCCACAGACCTAAAGTAAAGTAAGAAGAATAGATTAAAATGATCAAAATAATAATAAAAAGTCAGCCTGCTGGGTGTTGTGGCACACGCCTTTAATCCCAGCACTTGGGTGGCAGAGGAAAGAGGATCTGTGCGAGTTCCTGGACAGCCTGCTCTACTGGTAAGTGACGCTACCTACTGAACCATCTGGTTGGGTCCAAAATTATACCTAAATAAATAAATACATAGGGGCTGAGAGATGGCTCAGAGGTCAAGAGCACTGGCTGTTCTTCCAGAGGTCCTGAGTTCAGTTCCCAGCAACCACATGGTGGCTCACAACCATCTGTACTGAGATCTGGTGCCCTTTTCTGGCCTGCAGGCACACACATGCAGGCAGAACACTGTGTACATAATAAATACATCTTAAATAAATAAATAAT